ACCAAAATAACCACTTTATTGATGGCGTGACCGAAATGGAGGGAACCGTTGGCATAGGGCGGGCCGTCGTGTAAGACAAACGGACCCTTCGGTGCACTCGTGTCCCGCAGTCTCGCAAACTTGTCAACAGAGATATCCTTTGAAACGAAAGCAACAAATAAGTGATTAATCGGTAAATAAGTGATCACTTCATACATTGTTTGTCTCCAAACTTCTGGAGTGTTTGACCAGAAAAGTAGTCTTCGGCAGCAAAACAGTGTCCGAATACTTGTCACTATATTTCACTCTTTTCTCACTTTTGGCCACTCTTTTGGTCACTCTTTTGGTGGCATTTGTTTGGCTCGAAGTGTGTCTCAAACTGATCCTCGACTTCACACTATTAATGAGATTGAAATGAAAGTGTTTTCTGCAAACCAAACACAAAGTCATTTCAATTTGACTGATATTATGATCACTTGTTTTGATGTCCGCTTCAATCAGAGAAAGTTTGACTTCTGTTGTATTTATTACTAGTGTACAAATCGTGTACTAGAGGGTGAGTTGGTTAGTAAACTGCGGTAACATAAAACCGCGAGTAATATTTATGATGAAAAATAAGTAACTAAAGAATTAAACTACAATTATTATTATAATTTGTAAGTTTATTTTTATAATTTATAACTATAACACAATTGGGATGTTTCTAATTAGATTTATTATTATATTTATTTTTGCAACTATTAAAATGATTTTAATTATGAATTTGGTATAATTGTGTATACAGTACTACATTAAATTCTTTAAAAACTTATTGGATTTTAATATAAACTATGTTTATTAGAAAGGACCATGGTCAATATACAATTAATTATATACTTCAATTTTGTAAATATTTTATATTATTACAATTTAATTTATTTAATTCTTACTTCACAATACTTGTTTAAGAATAAATATAGAGTATGATTTAAATATGAATGAGACACAAATTATTTGTTAATTACTTTTTGCGTTATAAGTGATAAACAGAAAACTTTCATCAGGAAGACTAAAAACTTTTTATATTTAAACTTAAATATAGATTATATGGTTTTGAAATATTTTTCTTAGCTTTTGTATTGTTGTGGTCTATTTATTCTGTCTTTAGTTTGTAGACACAAATGTATTTATTTTCTAATAGTATTCAACTTATATCAATTTTTTAAAATCCCACTATTTTTGTATTAAATATTAAATGCCAATTTATTTAATATATGTTAAAACTTGAAAAATATATCTAAATAAATATTCCGTTAATCAAGTATTGACAGAGAATTTGTTTAAAATAATATTATAAACATTAATTATAAAAATAAATCGTTAATTGTTCTGAGCTTTAATAAATTCTTAATGAATTTATATAGAATTTGTTTATTTTAACTTGATATTCAATTACCAAAAACGTCTGTCAAGTCTATAACTCTTTTAAAACCAATTGAAATCTAGAAATAGTGTCATTCATTCAGACGTTTAAACCATTATTTGTTGAGATAATGAGAGCGCATGCCTTCATTGAAATCTATTTTAAATTCTGGTCTCAAGAATCAGTTTTGAGTCCATTCTTTCGTGTGAGAGGATCCCTAAAGTGAGAGTTGTTTGTGAGAGAAGTCTGAGAAAGTCTTCGCTTCTTTTGAATTCATACCCAAATAGTTATAAGAAATGGTAAAACTATTCATATTATTGTTATTCATTTGACCAGTAATTAATAAGTTATTTATTATTTATATTTTAAAACTTTAGGCAGATCTTAAACCACCGGAAGTTGAAAGTAAGTTACAATTTTCTATTATATGTATTAAGTGCAATATTATTTATTTTAAAATTTATCTATAAAAATATTTTATTAATTTAGTTTTCAGTGAATTTAGTTTTAAAATCTAGCATTATTGTGTTTTATGAGTAAATCAATTGTTATAAAACAAATATTTAAATGTGTGTCAAATTACTATAATTCTTGAATGAAATATTTCCCAATGCCCTGATTTTTTTGCCTTTTGTTGGCAAATAATGTGCATTATCTGTATACCCGAAGTAATGCCAAAATCGTTATCCCTACTTAAGTAACACAGAATATAATGATTACTATATATCGCTAGGAAATACTCTTTCCTCTGAACGCAAACACAAATTTTACTGAAATCTATTTTTAGTGGATTCTAGTGTAACAGGCATTCAATACCTAATTAGGAAGAGCCGTACACAATATGCTAGTTATTTATATGTAATGTTTACTGCATTGACTGCTTTTGAATTTAAAGCAATCTTTAAATAAAAAATCGTAAAATTACAAGAATTTATTGATAAGTTATAAAAATTGTTTAAGAATTAAACTCTAATAAAAAGAATAACACACATATAAATCAAATAAAGTTAAATGAGAAACCAAGTTCATTTATTTATTTAGCCAAATTTAATGTAAAATATCTTTTTATAATACAATAAATATATTGAAAATTATATTAATTTTATAATGAATTACATGAATAAAGACATATTAACTAATAATTTGTAAACAACTTTAGAGGCGAGACTGCACTTCGATATCTATGACTTCGAGGGCGAATCCAAAGTAGATTATGTGAATCTTTGTGATTTATTGCGATCACTAGATCTGCGCCCGACGTGTGCCATGATTGAGAAGAACGGCGGAACCAAGAAGAAGGGTCTCCACTATTTTTATATCTCATGATTTGTTACAAATATTTATCAAATGCTTATAATTATAGGCGAGAAAAAGATGAGTTTTGAAGAATTCCTTCCCATCTATAGTCAAGTAAAGAAAGAGAAAGAAGTCGGAGCTTTCGAGGACTTTATGGAGGGTTTGAAAGTGTACGACAAGGCCGAGAATGGGACGATGTTGGCCGGCGAGTTGGCGCACATCCTCCTCTCATTAGGTACTCTACTATACTCTACCTTGCTCATATTTTAGTGAAAGTATTTCATATATAATATTTGTTCAAACAATTAGGAGAGAAATTAAATGACCCCGAAGTGGAAGACATCCTGAAAGCGGCTGCGGGTCAGGAGGACGAGGACGGCTTCATTAAATACGAAGGTTTGCATCCATTTGTTAATAATAATCAAACAGAATATATGTTTTAAAATATCATTTATTAATGGTGTGCTTAACGTGAATACATAGCATTCATACGGAACGTAATGGCCGGTCCCTACCCTGAAGAAGCCAAATAAAATTCACCACAAAATCCAATATTAATTATAACTTAAATTCGATACATAATTATATTTCCATTGATTTGATAAAAACGTTAAATTTTATTTCAAATCATAGGAAAAGGAAACATTTTATTAATAATATAAATATTTAAAAGCTGTTAAAATATCGTTTAAAATTTAAATATTTAACTTCTATTATAAATTAGATCTAAAATCTGATAACTATTTTCAGAACAATTTTGATCCC